TATATATATAGACCCCTTAGTGAATAAACCAATATAAAAGTTATTCTATTACATAGTGTAAATGTGCAATGCTGATTGAAAGACTACAGCATATTTTATAGATTCCACCTTCCCCAAGTGTTCAACAGTCAGGACAATGGAGTGCAGTTGCTACTGGTTACTATACTTTGTATAAGGAACTTTCACATAGTGAAGTGAACCCATGTGAAGGTGATTCCATTAAACGGTATAAAGAGCATTAATGTTGTACAAAGTGCAGCAGCCTATAGTAACCAATTAAGGATCATGTTTTACTTTAGTCTGATTAGACTGTCCTGGAATCTAATTGAGATGGGTTCCTGCATATTGCAGCCATCATTTCTCTCTGTGGTGGCTCAGTGAATGATGCAGTACATCGTTATCTTTCACAGAACATTCTGATGTATGATTAAACACTTCTGGCTGTAGAAAACAAATGTAACATATTGTGAACAATAGCACACAGCGATATATTATGAGCTGTCACGGTCTACCAATAAAGTTGTCTATGTGGTTCCCCTGCTCTTTGTTTCCTATTAATGAAGTGTATGCAGAAATAAAGACACTTAGGGCTGACACATTGCAGTCCCATTCAACACAAGTGTGTTGCATCATAATGTGTTGTTGCAGAAATTTTGTGATAAGTCCGATATTTTGGGAATTTTAGTGTGTTGAAAGTCCATTGATTTCATCGGGCTTTCCTAAAGCCATGCACACCACAACATAACATAATTTGATTTGAAGCACGTGCATAACCCAAGTGCACAAATGTAAATGGTACCCCAGGCCCTGTTCACACCTGTGAGATTTAGTGCACAATAACAAACGACAAGACAATTACTGTTATTTTCTATGTGGCCCATTCTTACCTACGTTGTGTGCTGCCCTCTGTTGGGAAAAATAGTACAGCTGCACTTTTTGGTGCAGCAACGCATGTTTTTGTCCCCATAGAGACTTCAATGGCAGATCATAAAAACGTACACTCTTTGGTTTTTCAGCCTATAGAAGGCAATGGCAGGCTGACAGGAGCTGCAGCTGTCTGCCGCCGTCCACGTGTAACATCCAGCAGTTATCTGTGGCTAGGGACAGATGACTGGACATGGATGCAGATAGAGTGACTGTGTCCAGGGTTGGACATCTGTCTCTAATCGCAGGTAACCCCTGGATGTGTGGATACATGGGATTGGCGGCAGAAAGCGCCAGACAGCTGCGGCACTTGTCAGCCTGCCATTGCTTTATACAGGCTGAGCGGCTGCAGCTGTCCAGAATCCATGAGATTCCAGCAGCCAGGGCCGTCCCTATAATGAGGTGTTTATCTCAGGCAACATCTCATCAGGGGGGCAGCAGATGGGTAAGGGGGGCGGCAGATGGGCATCCACAGCGCCCAGGTCGCTAAGAGCTCTTAACAACCTGTGACGCTCTGTCTGGCTTCCCACCCAGCTCACTGACGACATTGGTTGCCAGGAAGCTGATTGAGACACTCTGGCTGGCGTCCTGCCGAGCTCTTGGCAACTACTGGCGCCAGTAAGCTGGGCATTTCCAGACAGAGAACCACTGACAGGCACAGCTCCAACACAGCTGTCTGTCCCACCGCATCAGCTGAAAGTGCACGGGTCAGCAAGGTTTGTTGGGTTGCCATAAACAATGAGTGGCACTGCTGTGCATCTTACAAAGTGACACGCATTTGAATGCGCTGCACAAAGTGTGTGACAACACGCCACTTCCTGCACATTGATGCCGCACATAGATGTGCATGGGGGCGTCATTTCTGTGGGCTGGCCTATGCATGTCAATCACACCACAGAAGTCCCCGCACCTGTTTTTTCACAATGTGTCACACCAAAACGCACGGTACTTTGAGGGGAATTTATCAGAAGGGGAGCAGACAGAATATGGAGTAGTTGGCCCATGGCATCCAATCAGCTTCTATCTTTCATTTTCAAAGCTTAACTGAACAAACTGAAGAGAGAAGCTGATTGGTTGTCATGGACAACTGCTCCAGATAGGGGCATCCAGTTGCTTAGAACTGGGTATGGAGATGTGTATGGCACGTACAAATCTACCCAACTGGCTCTTAGCAATCTGGGACACTTTGGCCATGAATGGGGTGGCAGGCACACTGAAAACATTCTGCAGCAGACCAGCCATGCCTCAGACTGCCTCATAATAGGGACGGTGCTGACTCCAGTCTCTGTTCCAGTTTTGAAATTCCCCTTTTTCCCCCACAAATTCTGGTGTGATTTTGTGCACCTAAGCCTTCATTCACCCCTGAGCGACATCAAATATGTGCGTTCTCAGTGTGTTTTGTGTAGCGTGTTTTTTATGCACATTTTTACGCAGGCTTTATGTGTGTGCATAAAGTTGCGCATTTGTAGCAAACAGATTGTGACATGTTGATGCGAATGGTCAAGCGCATGTAAAACGTGCATAAAACGGCGCGAAACCACAGCAAACGCGTGTTTTTGAGTATTTCCATCTAAGTCTATGGGGCCAAGAAGCTCAGAATCTGCCAAAAAGAAGCTGGTGTACTCTTTTCCAGCGACGGGCATTTTGCTACAAGCGACAAAACGCTCAGATGAGAACATATCCATAGAAATGAATGGGAATTTTGGGGGGGCTTAGTGTGAATGAGTACAAATATCCATGAATCCTGTGGCACTCCTTCCTGGAAATCCCAAGATATTGAAGGGTGCTCGAAGTGACCGCGGATGGCGCCGCGCATGGAACAACTTTTGTATACAGATGTCACCAGCACACCGGCACGATGAGACTCTCAAATCGGTGCAAATCAATTTATTAATAGATACCATTTAGAACAGTGGTTCTTAACCTGTGTAACCTCAGGACCCACATTTGTCCTTGGTCAAATATCAAGCACTCATTGACTACTCTGAGCCTGATGAGGGGGACCCTGCGTGGCTCCGAAAGCGCTTGATATTCTGAGTGGTATCTATTAATAAATGGATTTGCACTGATTTGAGAGTCTCATCGTGCTGGTGTGCTGGTGACATCTGTATTCAAAATTAGTGTGAATGAGGGCTAAAAGTAGGGATGCACCGATACTAGTATTGGTATCGGTGCCGAGTATTTGGGCGAGTACTCGTACTTGTCAAAATGTTCCGATGCCTAGCCTAATTATTATTATACAGGATTTATATAGCGCCCATAGTTTGCACAGCGCTTTACAATATACTGATACTTTTGGTATTAGGAAGCCGGGCAGCGAGTCATTACACGCTGGCCGGCTTCCTGATTGGTCGGGAAGCTGGCCAATTAGGAAGCCGGGCGCACTGTAATGATGCAACGTCCGGCTTTCTGATTGGCCGGCAAGCCGACTTCATGCTCCCTCGTCACCTCATGACGAGGGAGCATGGAGCCGGCTTCCCAGCCAATCAGGAAGCCAGGTGCCGCGTCATTACATGGCGCCCGGCTTCCTGATTGGCCAGAAAGCCAGCTCCATGCTTTTTCGTCACCTGGTGACGAGAAGCATGGAGACGGCTTCCCCGCTAATCAGGAAACCAGGTGGCAAATCATTACACGGTGCCAGGCTTCCTTAATGGGACTTCCGGTATCGGTATCTACGAGTGCATTTGGTTGCCGCTAACAATAAAAGGCGACGCGCGTTTTAGTGCTCTGCGATACAAAGCAGCAAGCATTTTGGCACTCTGCAGAAACGCGCGTCTGTGCCCAGTTGTGAATGGGGGGCGGGGCTCAGCGCTGAGGCTGGCACTGCTACTCCGGTGATATGAAATAATTGCTTCATGTGCTTATTGCCCGGAGCCAGCTCTTCGCCCCCCCCCACCCCCCCCCCCCCCCCCCCCCCCCCAATTCTCCTCCTCCTCCGGTGCCCTTTGCAGTGATGCCACAGACAAGGACCAGGATGCTGCGCTGCTAATTTGGATGTGATGACTAGGTGTTTGCAGCCACAACCTCATTAGACCTAAACCAACAGAGAGGGGATTAATGGGACGCTATTCTAGGCGCTAATAGGATTGTCGGGCTCCGGTGACAGAGAGGAGGGAGGGGAGAGCGGAGAGGGAAGAAGGATGGCGCTGCCACCTCGAGCTGTCAATGTTATCTCTATGTGCAGCTCACAAATGGCGATCTGCTGACAAGACACACACCGAGGGAGGAGAGAGCAGAGCACAGCCCGGGACTGAGAGGGAGGGCAGGACGGCAGATGCCTGGGAATCCCAATTTCATGATCGCATGCAGAGCTTTGTGGGGGGGCATCGGAGGGGAGAACCAAGGGGGGAGACAAAATGAAATACCAGAAATACCTGACTGTGCTGCAGATGGCGATCGGAGTGACTCCTTCAAACAGGGGGAACATTCTACCTTATAAGAGGAGGCTGTGGTGAGTCTTGGGGGGGCTCCTCTGTTCCTGGGGATGCATGGCTTTGAGTCATCACAATGCATGCTGGCCTTCTTCTGGCTCATCCACACACCATGTATGCTCCACTTCACATGCTACATGTGTGGTCTGCCTGGTGCATTGCATGTGGCTTATTTTGATCATGGACCAGGCATATGGAAGAAATGATGTGTGTAGGGGCCACCTTGCTCATGGGATGCAAGAGACAAGGAAAGCATCCCTGGTCCTCCTTCCAAAGATGTCTGTCACCTCCTCATCTATATGTTGGGAGGCTCATAAAGCATATTCTAGGGATTATTAGCCCATGCATAGATGAATGGAGTACACACTACTGGGATCACTGGATGATGCAGTGTTAATATCATGGATGCTGACATAAGGTGTGATGGCATAGTAAAGCATGTACCTTGCATTGTTTAACTGCCTGATGACTACACATGATATATGTGTCTGGATGATGCTTGCTGGACATTTACAACCTAGGTATGGGCCATGATAAATAATGCATCCGTACAATATTCTATTGACCACACTGCATGACTCTCAAGCTTGGCAGGAGCGATCAGGAAGCTGCTGTCAAAAATCCTTTCATTTTCTCTGTACCGGTTTGCATTTTCCTGACGCTGCAGTACAAAGAAATTCAGCACCAGGTGTACTCTTAGATTGTAAGCTCGTTTGGGCAGGGTCCTCCTCACCTACTGTTACTGTATATCAATGATGCTTGTCCGTGTTTCTTACTTGTCTTGCCTAAACAATTGTACAGCGCTGTGCAATATGTTGGCGCAATATAAATAATTGTAATTGTATTTTACGGGTATCCAGTATTCATTTAAATATTGGTGAACGTGTTAACACGCATGGGGGCATAGTAAAATAGATGATGGAGAGACACTTTGGATGTATGGCCTTTGTTAGGTAAATGCAAGCATAGTGGACAGCTCTCTAGTAACTGATGATCACTATGGAAAAGGATATTGTGTTGCAATACATATCCTGGTGTGATATGATCCAATGACATGCTGGAATCCTTGAGGCTGCCCATGGGTGAATTCCCTCATTGTACACTGTACAGTGCTATCTTTTAGTATTATGCTGAATATTGTGCCTGCAATGCAGTGAAAAACCCCACAGAGGTTTACTGTGTACATGGACCGTTCTGGTACATAGTTCATTTGTTTTCAGACTTTCCGATTTCATTGTTACTGATTGTACGTTTTTGTAAACAAATGTTTTTATTTGTATGTTGGTAAATCATAATGTGTAGTAACACTAAGATCAGTATTTAGGTAGAATATTACATTCTACACATACTACATATTACACTGGAATAGTCTTGTATTCATAGATGTTGTTAAGAACCAACCATGTGACTTTTATTATAGAAATGAATATAATAGTAGTAAGGATATCGTTGCTTCAGGGTACTATACACAAATGTTGCAACGCTATACAATTACCTGCCGAGCCAGGCACCCAATATGACCTTTCAGGAGAGAGGACACTACTATTCAGATATATCACAACAATGTGCCACTGAGGAACAAGGCACTATTCAATGAAAAGGCATTTACTAAAAAAAAAAACATAAACGTTACCTGGTCCGTATTAAGGTGCCAATAGTGATGATCTCTACTGACCCAAAATATTCAAATTGTAGTTTTAATCAGTTTAGATAGTCCTTCTTCAACCAGGGTTCCTCCAGAAGTTGCCATGCGTTCCTTGAGCAGACAGCAATTTGGGCATTCTGCCCACTGACAACCAATACAAGGAGCATGTTTCCCACTGACCACCAGTGTAGGGGGCCCTCCTCCCAATGACCACCAATATAAGATGGTCCTTTTCCCAGTGTCCATCAAAGTAAAGGGGCATTTCTCAACTGACCCCCACTGTGAGGGAACAGTACATTTTTTTGTCTACCTTTTTTCTGGCCATTATTATCGTTATGTTTGGGTCATTTTATTATTGCCTAAATGTTTTGCCATGTAGAAGAGGAGCCCTAAATGTGTCACCTACTGTAGGAAGTCTTTGTAGAATCCCCTTCGCATACCGTACTGGTATACCCCAGAATCCAACAGGTGCTGGAACAACTGGTGGATGGCGCCACAATATACAATCTAGAAGATATGTTGTCTGCACACCATTCTGCTTCCGAATATCCTCTTTATTTGTTTTCCTTTAGCATGACATGTGAATGCACCATTTCGGAGCCTCACATGACACTTTGCCTGACGGAGGGGTCCTGTGAGACTCCGAAACGTTGCAGAATGGTGTGCGGGCAACATATCTTCTAGATTAACTACTGTAAGCAGGCCACATTCCTTATTCTTTTATTTATACTTATGTCTCAACTCGCTGTTCATGTTAATAATATACAGTGAGGGCAATTTATCAACACTGGCGCAAACAAAGTCTGGAGCAGCTGTGCATGGCAACCAATCAGCTTCTCTCTTCAGTTTGTAGAGTTAAGATTTGAAAATGAAAGAGAGAAGCTAATTGGTTGCCATGCACAGCCGCTCTAGATTTTGTCTGCTCCAATTTTGATAAATTCCCCTCAGTGAGATGTAGATACTTTACAGAAGCTCATTTTGAACTATGGGACAGAATATAGAGGATACATTTAACTGATCCTCAGTCCTGTGACAGTCAATACTCCCCTCTCTCCCCTCTATGTTGGCTGTGGTATGTCTCTTGGTGTTCTCACATCTAATGCAAGTCATTGGACCTGCATTGATGATGATGTCAGTGGTCTTTAGACTGCCAGAAGTCCAGGGAAGAAAAGATTGTGGGGACCGGTCTAGCAGCCAGGTGGGATAGTGGATTAGGTGGGTATATTTTCTTTATTTGAATCCCTAGACCAAAACAGTTAGTTAACCCGTGCAGTGCGGTGCAGGGGTAGCCCCAGTGCAAGGGTTAGTTTTTTTTTAAAATCCTGGAGTTCCTCTTTAATCCTTAGCAAGAGTTCCCTGGGACGTGAAAGACATTTCAGGGGTTCTGCCATGTTAAAAAGGTTGAGAAAGTCTGCTTTAGACCAATCAGAACAAAGACAGGCAACATCCATTGGTTTGCTATGAGTTACTGCATTATGTTTCTTAAAAAGGTGTATAATAAAGAGTGCATTATGAGAAAAGATCTGCGTTGTCCTTTGTAAGCAGCCGGCCTTTCAGTCTGAATTAGGCAGTACCATTAAAAAAACCTCATTGGTTACTAGGGGGTAGCAAAGGCAGGTCTTATAATCACAGGCTTTAGAGTACCCCTGTCTTTAAAGAATTATGAGGGCTACCATTTATGACCTCTTTCTTAAAATGCTAGTTGCCTGGCTGTTATGCTGACCTGCTTCCAGAACAATTATGAAGATGAGGAAAGTCAGAGAAAAGTCAAAAGGCTATGCATACTTGTTTCTGTTCACTTGCATTAAGTACTAAAGAAGGAGGGGCAGTAAAACAGCCAGACAACTCGAATTTTCAGGTTAGGCTGAGTCATGGTAGTGGTAATCATCAGGGGCGTCCCGAGGCTGGGTGACACCCGGAGCGGTAACCGACTGTCACCCCGCCGAGACGTCACTGCCCATGCGCGTGACGTCACCATGTGTGTGCGCGATGATGTCATCGCGCACGCGCGGCAGTATTCTGATACCTGCCCGGCGGCCATCTTGGTGATGGACGCCGGCAGAGAGAGGAGGGGACAGTCACCCGGCGGGATAAGGTATGCCGCCAGGTCCCCTCATCTCTCCTGATACTGTCGGTCCATGACCGAGCGCCCGACTTTTCAGAGGGGGGTGACACCAAAATGACTAAGTAATTAGGGCCACCCCCCCCGCTCCCCCCTTGTGACGCCACTGGTAATCATGACAGGTTTCCTTTAAACGATAAGTGCACCCTTTTGAAATAAAATTCAATATGCATCTCTCTCCTTCCTCTAAAAATGTTCATATAATTTACATAGCACAGATCAGACTTCCTTTCTGAATATTGAATGCTGCACCATACCAGCGTGGTGCTTCTCATCCCAGGAGCTGGCATATCTGTAGTGCTACACATGTGCCACCCTCAAATGCAACAGGTACACAGGCAGAAATGTAAATCTGACATGGTTTCTTGACTTCAATTACTCTACTAAAAAAAAGTACATTGTTATTTCTGTCTGTGTTGTTGTTGAAGAGTTCCTCTCACTTCCTGTCTCGTAAAATGTTGTCAGCAGGACAGGAAGTAAAGGGTAAGTCTCTCTAATGGGGTGGCAGAGCCAGCTGTCAATCAGGTAGTGGGGTGGATCTTGACAGTATTGTCGGGATCTGTCCTGGTTGTCAGCTATGTGCTGAGCTTTGGGTCACAGGAGAACATTAGTACATGTCCTCCTGTGACCCTAAAGAGAACTATGGCAAAAAAAAAGTTGGGCCACAGTTTTGTTTTTAATAATCATTAGGAATACATTAATTAGAATTTGTGCAGACAGAAATTGGGGCAATGGCCTGACTTTTGAACATTTATGACTGTCAAAGTGCAGAATGATCTTTATGTATTCTTGAGTGAGTTTTTTATTCTCCTGCAATAATTGTCACAGTCATCTATAACTGGGGACATGTCACTGTACATTATAGGGATCTGGGGAGAATGGGTGGCACATTTGGGATACATGATGCTGCTGGATTTTTAGAAGTGCTCTAAGAAACAGAAGACCAAGAGTGAACTGATTGAGATCTCTGGCTTAGTGCTGAAACACAACAGTTAGGGACAGCCAAAGGTCCGCTCAACTTGCCACAGATGTCACACACACACTGCTTGCCAGTGATGTAGGAATAGTGGCAGTAAACAGATCCCTGCTTCTGGTAGGCCCATACGGCCTGCTTAGCCATATCTAAGTACTCTTCTTCATAGCAATCACCTTGAACAAGACGGCTGTTTAATTGCTTTTCCTGGGAAAAAAAGGGGTGTACTGTGCAAGGTGGAGGGGGTTATGGTAGTTGGACAGGGAAGATGTAGATGTGG